TTTTAGAAAACAGACACTGCCAGAGATCATCATACAGTAAGTTAGAACTTTTTTAGCTCGTACGTTGTAGAGCTAAAAAACTGTGCATTTTCAAATTTCACGTTCCCCCATGTACGTGAGAAATAGGCGCACACTAAAGCTGAATTTAGATTTTCTGAATCGCGCATGAACAGGGAACAGCAGTTTAAAATCTCAGCTTCTCAGCTTTCTGCTTCTCGAATCAGTAATTATCTCGCCAAAATTTTCGTGTGTCCGAACGCATGCCCACTCGCACGTTCACATTGAAAGCAGACGTACGTAAAATTGGTATCATGTCCTTGAGGCAGCACTTGGCCTGGGAACGCACTAGTAAAATTTCAACATCTAAACCTGCTTAATTACCGAGTTGAAATACCGGCACAGATGCACAAACATACACACAAACACACACACATGATGGGACGCCGCAACTTAAGTCTTTATTCACCATTTTAATGACTTTCACACATGTAACAGCGATGCGTCGCAAAAAACGTATGAAAGCACGAATGAAATTAGTCATATCCTGGTCGACGATCTGCCCATTTTCATGCAGTTCTCTGCTGTACCCTCTTTCGATACGAGACTATCGCATGCAGCATGCAAGAAGACATTATCCGATCGTTGAAAGAAGCTTTTTCTTCTGCATAGCTCCAAACCCAACTCATTATTCATCTGTTTTGCTTGCCCCGCTCAGATACAGTTGTCAACGAGCTCGACTGATATTTTTTTTTTATTTACGCAGTATTAAAAGAACGCAGGAAAGCCACCAGTGCGCTAGAAAGGTCAACTTAAACGGTTACATGAGATTACGTCAACGACAGCTGCCCAAAATGAGAAATTGAAAAGTTCCCAGCTACAACAAAGTTTCCAGCTGCGTCAAAACTGACCAGAGTAATAAAATTACGAATGCTGAAGATATTTTAAATTAATGAATATGGCTATTTCACTACAATTTTCCTCACAGCTATACTTTTCATTCTAGTCCATATACTAGTTGATGCGAATGTGTTATGAGCACCCCATGTCGGGAAAGCTTTTCACAGTCTGCTTCAAAATAATGTTTGCAAACTGTGTCGTGGACGGCGACTTTACTTGGAAACGTCAGAAGAGAATCGAACCAACCCCCTTAACATTTGGACGCGAAGTGCACCCCACGCCGTTGGCCCTTATGCTCCAGAAATAGCCTAGCAGCACAGCTACTGTGTATCTGCATTTCAAGGTTGCGCAGACCTTTTTTTTCTTGCTACCTCCCATAGGCTGCATATCGTTTTCTTTGTGTTGGCTTCTTTTGCCGGCTTCTTGCGGATTTCCCGCGATAAACTGGACTAGAAAAGTAAACTGAACACTAATGGAAGCATTACACGCAGAGTTTACAAAAATAATAATTTGCCAACGCACAGGCTGCCCGTGCGAAGATGCGTTTTTTGCACAGTTTCCTGCAGTTTTTGTCGCTACCGGCACCAGTTTTTCCTTCAAATGCTTCTTGCTAAACAAATTAAGACTGCCGTCAGAACCGTCAGGAAACATCCCTTAAAATTTCAACTTTCTAACTTTCCTGGCTCCTGAGTTTGCGACTTACTGGAAAACTTTCGCAGGCCGTACGTAGGTGCTACGCATACCCGATGTCTGGGTTTGATCTCGTTGAGACTTACGTGGACGGGAAACACCCTCCTAAAACTACAATCTTTTAGCTTTTCAGGTACTTGAATTATCAACTTACTTGGAAAAAATTTTGGCGGGCCCGTATGCAAGTACCACGCATACCCGGGGGCTGAGTTTGAGCTCATTAATACCTCCTTCGACGGGGAAAACCCCCCGAAAATTTCATATTTCTAACATCTTAGGTCCCCGAGTTATGAACTTACTCGAAAAAAATTTTGACGGTCTCGTGCTTGCCTGGAAGCTGGGTTTGAGCTCATTAATACCTACTTCTACGGAGAACATCATCTTAGAATTTCAGCCCTCAAACGCTTTTGGTTCCCGAGTTAACAGCCTACTCGTAAAAAACTTTGGCGGGCCCTCAAGTGGGTACCATACCGGCAAGCCCGCCCATCTTGGGGATGGAGGTCCGTACGTGGTATATTACTAAAACTCGGCTCGGCTCGGCTTGCCTCCTAAACGAGTTGCAAAACATTTTTTTCCGGAAGGTGGGTAGGGTTGCTCCGCGGCGGATGGCGGTAGTTTGAATGTGGTGCCAGCGAAAGTAAAAAAAAAGAAGGGAAGGATTTCCATGGCTTTTCAGGTCACACATATGTGATATGTTGCGTATAGGCTAGGCGCATTTTACATCCTCTTAAAGTCTTCTATACATCTCCTACCTTGACCACGCCCAGATTCTTCCCGTATATAAGCCCGGTTTTTGGGCACAAAACTCAGTTTCACTCGGGCTGAGTGGCGAGAGCGAGTTGTTCGCTCACTGCCCTCAGTCTTCACTACTAGGGGGAGGGGTGTGCGGCTCAGG